TTCCATCCACTGGTTCACTCCCCAGATGGTCGCAATGGCCAGAGCTGTACCAATCCAAAGCCAGGAGCTAGGAGTTTCTTCAGGGTCTCCCACGTGGGTATGGGGGCACAATGACTTGGGCCATCTTCTGCTGTTTTCCCAGGCCATAGCAGAGAGCTGGATTGGAAGAGGAACAGCAAGGACTAGAACCGGTGACCATACAGGATGCTGGCACTTCAGGCCAGGGCTTTAACCTGCTGCACCACGGCGCTGGCCTCGATGTTTGATACTTTTAAAAAGGGCATTTAGTTTCAGAAAAAAATTAATAAATTTGAGATTTGCATTAGTTTGTAACTAGAGAACATTTTAATTGTCTGTTGATCTGTTTCTAAGAATTGCTATAGTAAATGCCATCCATAATTTTCAGGTTTTCAGACAAATCTATTGAAGCATTTGGAAAATCAATAAGCAAAGAGTTTCACTCTGATAAATTTACAGAGTAGAATATGGAAGAAAGCAGAAATTTATTTTTTAAATTTTTGTTTAAATAACTGTCATGGGAACATATTTTCAGTTACCGTGAAGCATAACAAAAGACTGAAATGCATCAGAGTTCAGTTACATGTATTCTTTGAGACAATTGGTGCAACTGTCTTTATGCGAGGCATGACACACAGCTAACTCTCTGACGTGATAACCGTAACTGTCTCCTTGAGAAATCCTCTTGGCTCCGTTAGCAGCATCAGTTGTGGCCTGAACAGGAAGGGCATGAGAGGACCCTGCCTCTGAACACATTCACTGGGCAACTTGATTTTCTGACTCCATCAGCAGCATTGCCAGTCATGCCATTCCCGCCTGGACTTTGCTGGTAGCAGGTTAAGCCATGTCCCCAACTACCCAGAATCTCTAATTCCAACCCAAACTATTTGTCAGACTTGCTGGCCCCTGATTCCTTTTGCCACCTCTGCTCTCCTCTGAAGCCATGTTCCATTTCAACCTTGTGTCCAATATTCCACCAAGGTCTCACTCTAAGTTGGTGCCATTCATTCTGGGCCAGGACTAGGCCAGAACCATCCAATACCTGGGACTGCAGAATATGCAAATTAATACTAGGGTCAACAGTGGATAGCAGACCTCTGCTAACAATTAGAGTGCTAAGATCAAGTTGATCCACCTTTGATTCATAATCCCAAAGACAGAAAACAATAGTTTTATACTTAATTTTGATCTATACTTTGAAAAATTAAGTTTCAAGATTTTCTCTAAAGTACTAACAGAAATGGAATGTTGATATTTCAAGTCAAAGATAGAATTCTAAGAGCAAGTTCATAATAAAACTCAAGAAAACATGGAAAATGAAAATATAAATGTAAACAAAGAAATTATGATTTCTATAGCAAATTAAATTTTGCTTTTTCACATACATTGTTTCACAAATATCACAATTTATTCTGAAGAAATGATTTATTTGTCAAAGACTTAGCTATAATTAAAGTTTTGTCTGCTATTGCAAAAAAATGGAAATAAAGTAGCTAAAGGAACTGATTAAAAGTTATGATACACTGGGATACAATATCATTGTTTTCAGAAGCTGTATGAAATGATATAAAAATTTCAAAAGATAATTAAGTATAAAAATACTACTGATGACAATTTATCTTATACTTGCATTTATAATATATGGCTTGATAAATAAGTCAATATGAGTGTGTGTGTACATATGGAAAAGAATACATCCAAATATTAATGATCTGGGGAGGACTGATGGTTTATATATAATAGGTCCATAATCTCTATTCTGCAAGAAACATATTTGAATTCTGCAAGTAAAGATTAAATATGTATATTGTTTCAGATAAGCTTAGTAAAATTTTTGAAACCTTTTTACAAGTGATGCGTTCAAAGAAAAATGATATGTTTAAAAATACAAGTAAAAGTTTAGGAGTAAATTAAAGTATAATCAGATATAAAGCTATCTCTTAAAAAATAAAGTTACATGAGTTGAGAAAGAATTATTCAACAATATAATATTCACTTAAATCAGGTTCCCCTTTACATTTTATTTTATTAATGAAAATGCCCTGGAGGATTGCCCGGGGCACTGGGAAAGTCCTAAAGCTAAGGGCAGTGCAGGATCCTCAGTTCTGCCCAAAGATGTAAATCCTCTATGAGGGATAACCAATTGGATCACGGGGAAAACTTCACCCTGAGAAAATACCGCAATCACTGCTATGCCTAGTACAGTGTAACCCCTGTTGCAGCAAACAGCCTCTAGCTGTTGTGCCTGCCTGCTGTTCCCTTCTGGCATGTTGAGAAATCTAGCTCTTCTCACTCTGACTATTCTGGTGAATTCTTTTACCATCCACAATGCTAGCATCAACTATTTTAAGTATTAGTATATAATATTAAATAAAAAAGTGAAAACGCCAAATAGCATACATATTTTAAGCCTAATCAATAAAATATTTAACATTAGTTTAAATCAACATGTAATTTAAACATATAATAGTTTTATATTATGATGTATAGAACAAGACACAAGCATTAAATAAATAGAAGAAATCAAACATACAATGATTTCCCTGGATTGTTTTATATATATATATATATATATATATATATATATATATTTTTTTTTTTTCTTTTTGACAGGCAGAGTGGACATGAGAGAGACACACAGAGAGAAAGGTCTTCCTTTTTGCCGTTGGTTCACCCTCCAATGGCCGCCGTGCTGTGGCCAGCGCATCGCACTGATCTGAAGCCAGCAGCCAGGTGCTTCTCCTGGCCTCCCATGGGGTGCAGGGCCCAAGCACTTGGGCCATCCTCCACTGCACTCCCAGGCCACAGCAGAGAGCCGGCCTGGAAGAGGGGCAATTGGGACAGAATCCGGCACCCCGACCACTAGAACCCGGTGTGCCGGTGCCGCAAGGCGGAGGATTAGCCTATTGAGCCGTGGCACCGGCCCCTGGATCGTTATATATATTTTTAAAAAGTATATTTTCATACAACAAATTTGTTAGAAAAAACGGTTAAAAATATAAAATATCATTTATAAAAACTATTTTGTGATATGAAATATATAACATTGGGAGGGGAAGGTAATGAAAAAGTACTCAAAAAGTTAAGCTTTGCTTCTATTTCTTTAAAATGAATTAGCATCATTGCTCAGCATCTAGAAACAAAGATAATAATTTTAACAAAGAAATCAATCATGAGTTTCTCTTTTGTAGCATTTTCAAGGTTGATGTAAGATTCACTTCTTAAATAAAAATGTAACATGGGATTGTGTGTCTGTGCTTACACACTCTCATTGCTTCTGAACCCCTATAATTTTTTAATGTCCAATGACATCACCAGCACTGGCCTTGACAACAAAGGCTAAAAACAAGTGAAATCTATCAACCTTTTAATTTTCTAAGATCACTTAATGAGGACTATTAACTTTAGTATTCACTTGCTTAACCAATAAGCTATTTCATATGAATGGAAGAGGTCAGCACAGCCTGTGGCTATATTTATACTGTTGTGTCAGATTTTAATAATTTCTAGAGTTTGCTTGCTATAAATAAACCAAGCAAATGCCCACCCATGTTTTAACACATAGATTTTATAAACAGGAAATTATTGAACATGACATGTCTCTGTCAATATCTTACTTAGCCTTGACCAATCAGCCCTTGAAGTGTTTGTCCAATCTGCACGCTTTTTCTGTTTCTCTAGAGTTCTGACCCAATGGGCCAGCACTCTGAGAGGTTGCTTCCACCACATGTACCTCTTGATAATGACGGAATATGGCTCCACAAAGAACACCAATCCTAATAACTACAGTGTATTGCATCAGCCTCTTTGATTATGGCTGTTACCTGGACATTAGAGAGGTCAGGAGTGCAAGCTAGGGAATGCAACTACCATTTCCCAGTCCTCACTCAACTGCTTACAAATTATGTAAAAAAGGATCAGCCAGGGCTGGTGTTGTAGCATAATGGGTTAAGCCAGGGCCTGTGATGCCACCATCTCATGTGGGTGCTGGTTTGTGTCGCAGCTGCTCCATTTCTAATACAGTTCCCTGTTAACAGCCTAGAAAAAGCTGTGGAAGATGGCAAGTGTGTGGGTCCCTGCCACCCACGTGGGAGAGCTGGATGAAGCCCCTGGCTCCTAGTTTCAGCCTCACACAGCCCTGGCCATTGTGGCTATTTGGGCAGTGAACCAGCAGATGGACGATCTATATGTCTCCCTCTAATTCTGACTTTCAAATAAATATCAAAAAGAGACAGAGATGAACTGGTTGATTTCTCCAAGTCTGTGTTTTGACAACATATCTCCAAGGGGCTATTCGGAGAATTGAACAATATTCTACACAGGGAGTCTGGCATATGGCTAGCCCTGGTAAGTGCAACTAAGAATGGGCTATCTGCACACAGTGAAGAATATGTGGCCTTCAAGGGTACAAAGAATCATGACAGCCCACAGACCCCAGAGTCCAAGAGGGAGGATTCAGAGTAGACGACAGCGTAGATTATTGGATATGGGACTGCACTTCAGAACTATCTGCAGTGATGATGATTCAAAGTTAAATCTTGGTCATGCAGAAAGATAGAAGCCCAGATAATTGAGCATAAGGTCAGTGCCAGAGAAAATGAAAGACTACACCTTCATGAAAAATTTACCTAAAATGCTGAACTAAGTCTTCTTAAATCTCACTCAGCAAGGAAGATAATTATTTCTAGAGCACTAGAGGAGAAGAGTTGTACTAAAAACTCCAAACTTTAGGGTACTGGAGACATATTATATTGAGAGGAAGCAAGGGGTTCATAAGAACTACCTTTTCTCATGAGCCATATAAATCTATCCTAAGGCCTCCTGGCCCACAGATCTCCCTACAGAGTTACAATCATCAGGCTATCCACGTGTGAAAGCCCCCGAAAAGGTTGCAGAATTACCTATAATCTTTTCAGCACAACATTATTATAGGATCCAACTTTCCTTTGCAAGCTTTAATCCACATATAGTCCTATACGTACTTGATGCTCCAATGAAACAGACTGAAGAATATTTGTGCATTTTTCTTCCCTCAAAGTTTGGGCTGTTGTAAGTTGTCAGGTCTGGAAATCTTCTCACTGTGTAAGCCTGTTACACCTGGCTCCTCCAAGGTTCATCTCAGATGCAATCTCTGCATAGTGCTGCAAATCCAATTAGGTAGAATTTGTGGGTCTAGAAACCAAGTGATAAAAGTATGATAGTCCAAAATACTACCACTGCATTTGAGAAATAATTGGTAACAACAGGGAAGTTTATGCATAGCATCTTCACAACTTAAAGCTCAGGGATGTTGGTGTTTTCGTTCCTTGATCATAGGAACTAATTTCACTTCTAGCATGGGGCACAATAAAAGTACCCTTATTTAAAATTTTTATTGTTTTGCAGTGTGATTTACATGATGTTAAATTCACTTCCTTTTTTCTAAATCATGTTTTTATGCTTTATTTTGAACTGTTTCAAATTTGGAGAAATTACAAATGTAACAATAGTGTGACTATCCAGTAATGCTCACCCAAGAGTAACTTATTCTTAATAATTTAATTTGCTATATCACTTGCTCTTCAGTGTGTATTTAGTAAAAAGCGAAATGGTCTCTTGTGTAATCAAACTTAGAAATTACATTAAAAATAACTTTATAAAAAAAGATTTATTTATTTCAAAGGCAGAGTTAGAGCGAGCGAGCATGAGAGAAAGAGCGAGAGAGCGCACTTCCATCCACTGCAATGGCAGTAGCTGAGTGGATCCGAAGCCAGGAGCCAGGAGCTTTCTCTGGTCTCCCATGCGAGTGCAGGGGCCCAAGGACTTGGGCCATCCTCTACTGCTTTACTAGGCCACAGCAGAGAGCTGGATGGGAAGTAGAGCAGTCGGGATACGAACCGGCGCACATATGGGCTGCCAGCACTGCAGGCAGCAGCTTTGCCTACTACACTACAGTGCTGGCCATTAAGTATAACTCTTTATTTTAGAATAGTTTTACACTTATAAAAATTATGTAATTGTTCAGAGTTCCTATTTTTTCTACACCCAGTTTCCCTATTATTAAAATTTTATTTTTTTTTCATTTTCGATTCTCTTTATATACAGAAGATCAGTTTAGCATACATTAAGTAAAGATTTCAACAGTTTGCTCCCACACAGAAACATAAAGTGAAAAATAATAGATGATTTTTTAAATGATGATGAAATCAGATCAGACCTATTGTCATGTTTAATCCCAGTGAGAGTCAACTTGGGAATTGATAATTTCTTTTTTTTTTTTTTTTTAACAGAAGATCAGTTTAGTATACATTAAGTAAAGATTTCAACCGTTTGCACCCCCATAGAAACACAAAGTGAAATATACTGTTTGAGTACTCATTATAGCATTAAGTCTCAATGTACAGCACATTAAGGACAGAGATCCTACATGAGGAGTAAGTGCACAGTGACTCCTGTTGTTGACTTCACAAATTGACACTCCAGTTTATGGCATCAGTAATCACCCTATGCACCAGTCATGAGTTTCCAAGGCTATGGAAGCCCCTTGAGTTCTCCGACTCTTATCTTGTTTAGACAAGGTCATAGTCAAAGTGGAGGTTCTCTCCTCCCTTCAGAGAAAGGTACCTCCTTCTTTGAAGACCTGTTCTTTCCACTGGGATCTCACTCAGAGATCTTTCATTTAGTTTTTTTTTTTTTTTTTTTTTTTTTTTGCCAGAGTGTCTTGGCTTTCCATGCCTGAAATACTCTCATGGGCTTTTCAGCCAGATTGGAATGCCTTTAGGGCTGATTCTGAGGCCACAGTGCTGTTTAGGACATCCGCCATTCTATGAGTCTGCTGATTATCTCGCTTCCCATGTTGGATCACTCTCCCCTTTATTTATTCTATCAGTTATTATTAGCAGGTACTAGACTTGTTTATGTGTTCCCTTTGACTCTTAGTCCTTTCATTATGATCGATTGTGAACTGAAAATGATCACTTGGACTAGTGAGATGGCATTGGTACATGCCACCTTGATGGGATTAAATTGGAGTCCCCTGGTATGTTTCTAATATTTGCCAGAACCCATAAACTACATCCAGCTTTCCCTATATTTTTCTTAATTCAAACCCCTTCCATCATTCCTATCCCTTTCAGCTGGTAGCAATCAAGATTCTGTGCTCAGATTGTGTTTTCTTCTTTTTAGCTCCAATGAATGAGGGACAACATGTAGTATTTGTTTGTGTTTCTGACTTATTTCACTTGACATGATATCTTCTGTTTCTGTCTATTTTGCTGCAAATGTCAACATTTTATTCTTTGTAAGGCTGAGTAGTGTTGCATTGTGTATTTACACATTTTCTTTATCCGTTCATCTGATCATGGACATCATGGCTATTTTGAACACTGCAGGTATCTTTGATACAAAGAGTTCATGACTTGTATATTTACTCAGTAATGGGATTGTTGGATCACATGCTAGTTGTATTTCTAGTTTATAAAGAAATTCACAGGGCCAGCGCTGTGGCACAGTGGGTAAAGTCGCCTCCTGCAGTGCCGGCATCCCATATGGGCACCAGTTCGAGTCCCAGCTGTTCCACTTCTCATGCAGCTCTCTACTATGGCCTAGGAAAGCGGTAGAAGATGGCCCAAGTCCTTGAGCCCCTACACCCGCGGGGAAGACCCAAAAGAAGCTCCTGGCTCCTGGTGTCAGGCACAGTCCCAGCTCTTGTGGCCATCTGGGGAGTGAACCAGCAGATGGAAGACCTCTGTCTCCCTCTCTGCCTCTCCTTTTCTGACTTTCAAGTAAACTGACTTTGAAATAAGTAAAATAACTAAATAAAATAACTTTCAATAAATCCTTTAAAAAATAAATTCCTATATTTTCCATTGAGACTGTACTAATTTACATTTCCACCAACAGTGTATAACAAGAATTCACATTCTTGATTGCATTTGTAACTTTTCTTGATAATAGCCATTCTAACAAGGGCGAATTGATAAAGCTGTTTTAATTTGTATTTCCATTTATAGCTAGTGATATATAGCATTTTTTCATATATCTCTTGGCAATTTCTATTTCTCCTTTTGAGAATACTCAGGCCCCTTATGTTTTGTTGACTACATATAATTGAATAACCACCCTCAAATATTGCCATATGCTTCTGTGTGTTAACTCTTACCCCATTCTCAATACCTAGCCAATAATTGACTTTTTTCTGTCTTCATAGATTCATCCTTTCCAGAAAGAAGTCATACAGTATGTAACCCTTTGAATTTTTATTATTTTACTTACTATAATGTATGTTTTTGCATATCCATAGTTCATTCCTTTAGAGTGCAGAGTAGGATTCCATTGTGTAAATATGCCATCATTTATCAATTTACAGGTCAAAGGTCATTTGCACTGTTTACTTGTTTTGACTATTATGAATAAAGCTACCATAAACATTAACACACAGGCTTTTTTGTACTTGTGTATAAACATATTTACATTTTTTGAGTAAGTACATAGGAGAAGAATTTCTGGGGTGTATGATTAATGTTTGTTTACCTTTATAGCAAATTTTCAGTCTAGGGCAGGCTTTTTGTGCAGTGGTTAAGCCACTGCTCATAATGCTCACATCCCATATCAGAGTGCCTGGATTCAAGTCCATTCTAGTGTCCTATTAAGGCACATCCTGGGAGGCAGAATTTGATAGGTCAAATTCTATCCTGTCATCCACGTGAGACCAAGCATTGATTTACCAGCTTCTGTCTTCTGCCGTTTGCCTAGCCCACCCCTGGATGCTCTGAGCATTTGGGAAGTGAACCAGCAAATCGGAGATCTGCCTGTCTGTCTCTGTCTCTCTCCCTCTCTTCCTTTCAAATAAAAAAAACTTCCATTTATTTAAGTGAAATTCCAAATCCCTGCTTGAAAGTAGCTGTTGCATTCTGAATTCCTACCAGTACAGCATGAGACTTCTTATCTCGGGCCTTCACCAATTCCCTGCACAGGGTTAGTTCTTTTTATTTTTAGACATTCTAATAATTGTTTAGTATTGCATTGCAGTTTTAATTTTCTTTTCCCTAATTACTAATATGGTGGGCATTTTTTTCATACTCTCATTTCCCATCTGGATGTCTTCTTTGGAAAAGTGTTTCTTCAAAACATTTTGCTTCACAATGGGTTTTTTCACTGAGTTTTAAATTTTCCTTTTTATATTCTAGATACAAGCCCTGTAACAGCATGTGCTTAGCAGACATTTTCTCCCCATTTGTGGCCTATCTTTTCATTCTCTTGAAACTATTTTTCAAACAGAAGATTCTAGTTCTAACAGTCTAATTTGCATGGTATTTTTAATGGATAGTGCTGCTTTTGACTCTGAAGTTAAGGGATCTTTGAGTAACCAAGAATCACAAAGACTTTTTCCATGTTTTCTTCTAGAAGTTTTATATTTAAGCCTATAATCCATACTGAGTTTTTGTAAATTGTGTGCAGAATACATTAAAATCCATTATTTTGGAAATAAACATACAATTTTCCAGTATTATTCAAGGTTTATCTTTTTTTCACTGAATTATTTTTGTATCTTTATCACATCATCTAACCATATCGTCACATGTGAGAACATGTATCTGATGCTCCCCATTTTCCATCCATGTATTTATGTATGTCCTTTTTCTACTACCATACTCCTTGGATTTTTACAATTTCAAAAGTAGTATTTATTTACTTATTTATTTTAGAAACAAATCGACAGAGTGCACTCCCATTACCTGGTTCACTTCCCAAATTCTTGCAATGGCTGGAGCCAAAGCCAGGAGCCAGGAACTCAATCCAGGTCTCTCATATGGGTAAGCAGGAACTTAGAGGGGCCATTATTGCTTCTTCTCAGGGCCTTCATTAGCAGGAAACTGGAGTCAGATGGTGAAGATGGGAGTAAAATGTGCATGTTTTGATCACTCTGCTAACTGCCAGATTCCTATTGTAGTTTTATAGTCTAATTTTTCCATCTTAATAAAAATAAATTCAGATATAATGAAGGTAGAATACACTAAATATCAAGTGCAGAGCCTTAGAAATCAGTTACAATTTTTTTCGTTGGTTCCTGTTCATTACGCTTTAAATTCTAAGGACCATATAAGAAAAAGATATATTACTTTTTTTTAAAAGTACACAAATTTGTATAAGGAAACCATTTTTTTAGTTTGATGTCCAAATATTAAAGTATTATTTTTCATTTAATTTATAACCTTGGCACAATTCACTTAACGAAATTTAGTTAGATGTCACTGAAAATTATCTTCCTGTGTAGTTTTTTTTTTTTTATTCCTGGGATGAGAAGGTAATCAAGTTTGCTACAATTAATATGTATGGTGCAGAATTTCATGCAAATGAGGTATGCCAGCAGTGTGATAATACGAACCTATTTAAACCATCAAAAAATAGCAAAAGGAAGAATGCATAAGATTGCTACTGATGAGGCCACTGCAGCTTCTGGGACCCAGTTTCTTCTGCTTATTTAAAAGCAAAGTTGTTTAAAAATTTAAAATAATGAAATAAATTCAGCTATTCTGTTAACCTTGTTTTCCATTTTAAAATCAACTTGTAAACTATTATTTTGATAATGATTGAAATTATATTGAATCTATTCATATTCTAAAAAGATAAAAATTTATAAATTTTCTGATTGCGTATGGAGAAAGTCAGATTGAATATTCACCTATGAATGCTTTGGTCACTCCAGCCTTTTTTTTTTTTTAAGATTTATGTCGCTCCCCCATTCGCGGAGGAACGACACAGGACCCTGCGCTGTTCTTTTGTCTGCTCAGCCCTCCCCGGGTTTGCTGCTGGTCCTTCCCGGGTTGGCTGCTGACCCCTCCACCTCCATGGAGGGGCGGCTCCCCCTGCCACTTTCCCCACTTCCGCGGGGGAGTGGCACATGGCCGGCCGGCTCTCTCGGGGGCTGCTCAGATGCTATCCAGATGTTCCCTGGTGCATGTTGTCTCTCTCCTCCTTTATAGTCCTCTTCCACCAATCCCAACTCTGCTACCTACACGCCGAGCACGCTGCTCTCCTCCAATCCAGAGCAGGATCAGCTCCTGCAGGTTGTCAATCAAGTTGGCAAGAGGCAGCTGCGTAGAAGTTGTTTGCTCCCTTTCAGCGCCATATTGTGGGAGAGCAGATGCATAGAATAAGTCTTAATTCCAGTAACTTAGTCTAGTCTGAGTTGCTCCCCACAGATTTATATATTTATTTTAAAGGCAGAGTTACAGAGAGGTAGAAGAAGAGAGAGACAGAGACAGAGACAGCCTCCCATCTGCTGATTCACTCTCCAGATGGTGGCAACGGCCATAGCTGGGCCAATCTGAGGCCAGGAGCTTCTTCACTCACGGGTCTCCCACGCAGGTACAGGGGCCCAAGGACTTGGGCTATTTTCTATTGCTTTCCTAGGCCATAAGAAAAAGCGGGACCAGAAGTGGAGCAATTGACTCAAACCAGTGCCCATATGGGATGATAGCACTGCAGGCAAAGGCTTTACCTGCTCCGCCACAGCACTGGCCCCCACTCCAGCTTTTCATGTCAACAATTATGACAGGTCAACTGGCTTTGATCATAATGATGAATTAGGGATGCTATGATTCAGTGGAGGCTGAGAATAATACATTTGCCACCTAATGATCACTTGAGCATTTCTTTGTACTCCCTTAACCAGTGTTTATAGGCAAGTGCAATAGTGTGGCTTGCCCTGAGAAGACTGGATCCTGGAGTTGAGATCCATTATTAATTAGGATTAATCTACCACATAAGCTGTTAGATCAATAGACTCCAACCAAAGGTAAGTGTCGCTGAGAACGAGAAGAGGGTGAATGAAGGAGACCAGGAACATCAGTTGCAGGCTTACGTGCTGCTGCAGAGACACAACTGATGCTGGTCAGACTAACTCTCCTCTTTGTTTCTCCCAAGAAATAGGAACAGGTGTAATCTAGAATGACCTGTTCCCAGATGAGGTGAGATTCCTTTGTCATATACTGAATCTGACTGGAGCAGTAGTACAGGACCTGGGTATAACCCTATCAGACCTCAAGGTGCTCATTGCTGCAAGTGCCAGGAGTATTGGCTGCTAATTAGCTCAAAGCCAAGGCATTTGCTATGCATGGGCCAGATGGCAAATTTGAGCTGCCTCTCAATGATTCACTTCCAACCGACGACTAAGCCCTGTTTCTTTTCTGAAGGGTTGGACACACTAGGGACACACTAGGATTCCCTCCATGGGATTGTCTAAGATACCTATTGCAACTACATTCCAGTTCAATTTCTCCTGCTTCCAACACTCCTCTTCCAATTTTTCACAAGGTCATTTCCAAGAGTCCCCAATGAATATGAACCTGTTCCAAATCTGTTTCCTGGATAATATGTCCAAAGATTCATCTCTAGAGTCTCTTCAGTAGATTTGAGATGCAAGACAGACCTAAGTAGACCTAAAGCTTCCTCAGGTACTCATGATATGCCCTCTTCTTCAAGAACCACCAGTGCATGGATTAATCTTTGACTATCTGTGTCATGCCTTTCAAAAGCATAGAGTATATGAGATAGAATTTTCTCATGTTGAGACCAGTGAATGATAATAGTCTGAATTTACTTTTTAAGGAGAAATATAAATAGGAGGCAGATCAACCCACCACACTACTTATTACTATAATAATGATCTGTCAAGTCCATTGGAAATACAGTGAATCATATCAAAGCAGTCAACCATAGCAGAACCCAAGACCTGCACCATTCCTTGTTCTTACCAGTTAATAAAACCAATATCAGTTCAATAGAATATTTAATCACTGAAATATGCTAATTTCCAAATAGTAACGAACACTTAAGCTCCTCTTGGGAGGGGGTTTATCAGATGATTTAATACTTTGTAGCCAGAATGTGCTTCCCACTAGACAGTTAACTTCATGAGTTAACTTAGGCAAATCCAAAAGTCTGTAGGCCTCATTTTCCTGTTTTCAAGCTTACATATTGATCAAGGTGTCCCTTAAGATTCTTATAGCTCTAAATGACATTGGTACTATGCCAGATTCTCTACCAAAGAAGACTAACTACGAGAGATCTGACACTCAACGTAGGAGGATATAGAAAGGGTTAATGAAAGGACACGTGTGTACATATGTTAACGAGAAATTTTAATCCTTATTTCAAACTGGAATAGGATATTAAAGGCATTGTCCTCAAATGACTTCATTCTGAACATGAGCAAGTGATCTGAACTTAGACCATCCTTGAAACATTTAGAAAGTTAAAGACCTTATCAACTCAAATATTTGTTATTTCCTTTAGTTGTACAATCAAGAGTTGTATAAAATATTCCTATCTTTCCATGAGACATTAATTCTTCTCTAATCTATTCGAAGGGAAAAAAAAGTTTAAGAAGGTACTTTCTCACTCAGATTCCCAGTTACCTATTGTAACTTTAGTTTCCAAGATACCACTGAGACAATAGCTATCCAGGTGCCTAGACAAAAAATGCCTCCTAGAAAAGCCATCACAATTCACAGAAAGTTAGGAAGAGATATTATGTTTCTTATACTGTTTATAGAGCTTATGTATTATTCTATATAGTTTATTATAAACATAATAATATATATTTACTAGAGCTCTGCCTATGACATATATGGAAGAGATAGTCTGGATGCTTTAGAAAATCAGAAAAACACCTTTCTAAAACCCAAAGACTTGACGAAACATTTAATATATTTTCCTTAAAGCACAGTCCCTAAGAGTTCCTTGGAAACTGTGGAGCCGATTCTGTCCTCTGGTTAAGTTCTACAGTGTTTACCTATTGCAAGAAATTTTATGGCAGCTTACTTTTCTTAACTTGTATTTGCGGTATTAGATTTTGTTTCAGTTATATGTCTAAGTACATTTTATTACTGAATTTCATTTCACAACAGTAGAGCAGGTATTCCAAAATAATTGCTACAGAAAGATTGAGAAGTGTTAAATACTGCCAGATTTGGTATGCATGTGCTTAGTCATAGGCAGTTTCTTCTATGGTACCATCAACAACTCATACCCACATAGAGATCCCAAGACTAGAGGATGAAGAGTTGACAAGCCCTTATCCAGCCCAGGGCACTACTCTATAGGTCAACTCTTCAGGTTGTCTACAAAGGACTCAGTGCTTCCCGGAAAACACTGATGTCCACCTCATTGTACCCTTATTCTCCTTACGTCAGTAAATGAGAGCTGTATTATTATATTATTATACCCTTATTCTCAAGTCAGTAAATAAGAGAGCTGTATACTCTTGAAAATTAGATACACTATAGTCTTATCTAAACAATAAAGTCTTTCATTATTACTAATTGAGAGATGGAGAGAGACAGAGACCTTCCATTTGCTGGTTCATTCCCCAAATGCCTGCAATAGCCAGGGCTGGGCCAGTCTGGAGCTGGGATCTTGGAATTCAACCTGGGTCTCTTACATGTGTGGCAGGGACCCAAGTACCCGCATCACCACCACTGCTTCCCATTAGAGAAAGCTGGAATATAAAGTGAAGATGAGACTCGAACTCAGGACTCCCATATGGAATGTGGGCAACCTAAGCAGCATCTTAATTGCTGTTCCAGGACCCACCCCTAGACATCAGAGTCTCAAACAATCATATTTAGGGAATGATAGCAGCTCCTGGTGAAAACCTAGGTTTTCTCCCATTTTCTCTTCATCAATACACAAGCTGACTGGTTTCAGCTACTCTTACCCTTTGCCCACTTTGAGTTCTGATTTGGAGCTATAACATCACAAAGCCGAAATCTAATTACAAGTCTTAGTAGGTAAATTCAAACTAGACTTGATTATTTTTAGACTAATTTTAAAATGGCATTTTAACATAAAATATTAGAACTTCACATAT